TATATTTCTAAGCCTTTGCAGTGTTCACTTGACCAGGTAACCTCACAAGGCTACCCGATGCTGCCATACATGCATTTGGGACACACCTGACACAGCTAATACAGAAGTGCTTGACAGCGAAATTCTGCCCTCCGGAACTGTTTATCATGCACGCCTCTTACTTGTTTCGCATTTTAATCTTGTAGGTTGGTGGACATGGTTGATATTTGTTTAGGAGGGGGGAGGGTGGGATGACTCTGTTTGTCAGCAAATCATGCAAAAGGCATTGACTTTTTGTTTTTGGGAGGGGCAGGAAGAAGCCAGTAAGTCTCCTGTGGACCAAGTAATTACTTACCTTATCTGCTTTCAACACATGCTTGGTAACCAGAGTTAGCCATTTGTTACTATTTTCTGTTTTAAGCCATGGAGTTTTGTCATAGGACAAATTATGATGCCACAAGACATGTAGTTGACAAGTTTCTTGAGGTGGTCTCTCATAGCTGTTTTAACCAGATGTTGTCCATAGTTGTCATGGTTTGCTGACTGGAAAATGACTGTACTGTATACATGTACTATATTTTTAACACAGGGTCACTCTCAGCCACATAGCAATCATAATATGAGGTAAATATCAGTATGTAGCAAATAGTGAGACCATCCCATTCAAAACGTGAAGCCAACATCTCAAACTTTGTTTTGGGGCATGAATAAAGAAACCTAAAGAGATGCATTTGGTGTAGCCGAAAAGGCAAGCAGCTAAACTGTTATGGCCATCTTAAAGGTATGCTACTTTTGAAGAAGGGAGATTGCTGTACCCATTATTGCCCTGACAGAGATTAACCCGTGCAATCAGAACAAGTTGTTCAAAGTGATTTAAAGTGTTTTGATTTGTGTGTTGCCAACTTCGTCTGGTGAAGCTGACACTAATCGTGCGGTGTCAACAAGCTGACACCAATAAACTGAATAAAAAGGCAAGCTGAAACCAGCCAAAAATCAGCTTTATCGTGTTTTTCAACAATTGCTGCTGTCTACAGATAGGTGAGGTAAGTTGAGATGATTTTCAACACATGGGCTACTATAAGTTAGGTTAAGTCGGGTAATTGCATGGGAAGTGGCAGTACGAATTTCGCAAGAATCAGTGACTCACATATGAGTCCAAGGTCTTTTTGGTTTGAGTGCCTTATGCTTGTTGAATTTTCTGTTGTTTTGTTGTTGAATTCCCTTGCTTTGATTTGTGTTAAGAAATACTGAGGAAGTAGAGTGCAAAGTGCAGCATCAAATTATTGGTGTAGCATAGTTTTTGATGCTCATTACACTGTTATGAAATTACTAGGCCTTAATGTATTCTGTTTAAATCGAATGAACCAAGATGTTAAAAAACACAACAGTGTTGTCGAGTTTATGGTATTACGTCTGTGCCAACTTGAAATGTATGTCTTTCTTTGCGGAAGCAACTCTCAGTAGCCCATGTGGTAGCCCCATAAGTTCCATCTTTTGTGAATGGAGTTTTTTCACTCTCGTAACGGTCTTTTTGCGGTGGAATTTTCCACTCCCAACTTAGCTCAAAAGCGATTCTAGCTCACTGCCCCTGGCCCACGCTGGCCGCGCCCTGACTGTACTTCGGGTGCGCTCATACTCCAATTCGTATTTTCACATGAAATCACGTCGCTGGTAACGGCCCTTTCCCTTCCTGGCGGTCCGTTGTTGACCCAAACCGCATGCCTGATTTCCACGTAAAAGCCCTTGACGATAATGAGACTCCTTGACGTACTCGCACAGGATACTCAAATGTCAATTCGGAGCTCATTCGTCGGTCTCTAACCATTATACGCTGCCGCGATACCTTTCGCTGTCTATGAATGCCTTGAAGGTCTTGGACTTCCGAATTCGGCTTTTGGCTCCTCGCTGCATTACTGCTCTCCGACTATTTCATGTGGTCAGACATCAGCTCCGCCATTTGAAGGAGTTAATGAAAAGGAGGGCGAGCAGTGCAATTGAGCTCCAGTCCCTGTCCTTCCCAGATCGCTCCATCCTTTTCTAATCTTTCCGTAGCGCAGCTGCCATCCGTGCAGGTCCTTTATAGTCAGGAACTCCTGAACGTTTGCGTCCCCGACGTTCTTTGAGTTGGGGGCATGACATGCCACAGCTATGTCTTGAGTGCTTCGGCAGTTTAAATGAGCAAAAGCGCTTTATACAGTTTTGTTAACGCCTAAATAGATAGTCACAATACCTATCTTCGCAGTCTTCGTGTTACTATTATATATATATATATATATATATATATATATATATATATATATATATATATATACAGACGACAAAAAGGCTTCGAAGAAATGTGAAATAAAAGAAGGGTACTACGACAAGGCTGTTTTTGAGAAGAACATAGAGGAACAGGTATTTGAATTATGCTGCTTCTATTCAGCAACATTGCATATATCTAATAATTAAATATAAAGTGTAATTAAACTACCTGTCTGCTATGTTCTTCTCAAAAACGGGCTTCTCGAAGTACCCTTGTTCTGATTCATATCCCAAAGCCATTTTGAAGACTTCGGAATTTGGGGACCTAATTACGTCCTCCCCCCCCCCAAAAAAAAACACATTCATTGTTACTCAGAACTGAGTATTCACATGGGACGTTTAGAACCCAGAGAACTTGAACGTGCTCTTAACGGTCAAAATGACTCGAAAATGCCAATAACTTGACCGCATGTCACTTTCAGCAAAAAAAACTTCATACAGACCTGTTACCAAGACTCGAAAAGAATGCAAAATTCGTGTAGAGTGCCGTACGAGACTTCACCGGTTTTCAATATTCCATCCCACGGTGGGTTTCCGGAGATTTAATGTACCCCACCTTGACAAAATCTTGGATTCACACTTAGCACAGATCGTGTATAATTTCGTTGAATAAAAATCGTGTCCAAAAAATTTAACAGCTATTTCGCAATTATATCGCTATGGTGAGAATGGTTCAAGGGTGCTGGGAATTAATCACTCCAGGTTTAAAAACATGTATTCGAGAACGACGTCGAGAGAAGCCAAGTGACGGAGCTTTACAAAGCCAGCGTTCTCACGTTGTATTTTGTGCCTCAGCCCCAAGCTCGTGAACGTTATAAAGTTCTCGTCTTTGATTTAGAGCCCCATTGGGAAATAACTACTGGCGCTGTAAATTGGAATACGCTTCAAAAGCCTGTTGGTGAAACTTCGAGGAGGGTGGATGGCCATTGATCATCACCATGCACAATGAAACGTTCCTCAGTTGACTCAAGGCACCACAGCATTGTCGACAATGTAGGTCGGCTGTTTGTGCCTCCATAAGCAATCAATACCTGCGAGGATGTTCTAGCCCTACTTCACTGCTGGGAAATATGTATGGGGCCTGGAAGTTTTTGTCAGCCAGCAGGAAAAGGCAAGCAATCATGCCATCGGCATTCCAGGCATATTCCATCAATGTTTTAGTGATTCATTGCCAGGGAATAGCGATGATGAAAGTAAATTATGACGTGTGGGGTAACCTGGGATTGCTGCCTGGTTTCTTACTGTTCTGACACATTCATAAATTTCCAGATTCTAACCCCATGATAATATATCGCTCAGTGTTCCTCCTGTGTCGGTTATCTTGCCAGTTAAATGTTAAACACTTGTGCACGAGCGGCACCGCCAGAGCCAAGAGAAGAGCCGCTACCTTCCCTTGGAAAGAGTCGGTGGCACCGCCCGTGCATTGATGTAACTCTCTTTGGGACCTGCCACTGGGGCGAATGGCAGTGTGCGACCATTCAACCCAAGCGGACAGGACAGCTAGTATTTTCGGTATGACTTGATGCGATTTTCACTGCCAAACTGTGTACGACGAGCATGTGGTTTGCCAATGCCATCATTTGGGTCTTGCTCGTTGCCAATGCCAAGTGGGTCTTGTGTCAGTGGTGTCTCCTCTGAGGGTTACGGTGCACTGATTTCCAAAATTTACTTTAATCGTGCCATACTGTATAAAACCTAGGAGTGTTTTGCGTGCTTAGTGAACCTGCGTGATTCGACGGGAAATATATCAGGACCAATAAGCGGTATTTGATGCCCTGTGCGAAGTACTTTTTAGAGATGCCTGTTTCAACGTCCTGCTATGATAAGTTCGCAAGATTTTGAGCGGACTTTATGCACACCAGGCTTTTTCGTACATTCATGTACGCCAGGCTGACAAAAAAATGCATGTCACGCAATGGCGGGTTGCTGTCCAGCGCATGATGCAACGTTCCAAAAGTTATTCGATACCGTGTCGTAGCTGTCCCGCTGTTGTGACCTGTTAAGTTCCGCAAATAGCAAACCAACCTATTTCACAAATTCTGCCCTGTTGACCTGACTTAAGCCATCAAAGGTCACGTAACGTAACACGTAATGGCACTCCCCTCAAGTATCTTGTACGTGCGACGGGATCCGATTTTCTATTTCATCTTGGTCCTATTTCAGCCCTCAGTGCCCTATCCTTTGGCTCTATTTCAGCCCTCAGTGCCCTGTTCTTGTGGCCGTTAAGTTGTCCCGTCCCTTGCGTTACGAATAAGCTTTTGAGTTAGCGGCGTCAGTTGCAATAGCAATACCATACGTCGTACAAAGTCAAGGCATTCGCACTTGTCGGTGTCCGCAAAACCTAATGTGAATAATAGATGATGGCCTAATCACATTCTTTATTGAGTGAAGCCGAGTGGCCGGTTCAGTCACTCAGCAGCTTTCTCCGTAGAACAGCTAACCATACACCGTTAAATCGCTTACACCTTGTTAGCCATCTCCAATAAACATCAACTAGTTACTTCGAGAACTGTGTCGATGTCACAAAATGTTTCAGTCAGTCAAATAATAAACTCTTTGGCTTCCAAGTCACACCTGTGAGGAGTGGATCCAAAGCAATGCTCCCAACACAATGGTAACGCCACAAATCCAGGCGCTGACCGGTGTCTCGCAACGCGGCCACGGACCGAGTTGTCACTGCCTCTCCCACTGCCCCGCTACACCCCACGTACTCTTACCTCCTGTGACGTTGACGGTGCGTCACGCTGCCGTCACGGCCCGTGACGCCGCGGTGACGGTGGGAGCCGCCGCCCGGAGCTTGCACGCCGACGCGACTGTCGGCGGCCGGCCGACGCTACCGACGCGGGCCCGTTGGCGCCGACGGAGCGAGCGCGGCACGCGGTCGGACCGGCACGGCACGGCATCCGCCGTCTCCACCTCCGGCAGCAATGGATCGGTCCCGTCGGGCCGGCCACGCCCGGCGGCGGCGGTTGTGTGCGATTTGTAAGCCGTCCTTAAAGGTGGGGTCAGGTACGGACGTATGGACGTGCTGAAAGGCTGAGGGGTTATCAGACAGCGCATGTCGCGCGCAGCCCCCGACTTTGTAACGAAAAGAGGACGGGACATCATGTGTGCTATGTCGAGATCCGAGCGATAAGTTGGCAGCTGGATACTCAAGTATCCACTGCATGCAAGTGACGGGCACCGACATGTAGTTGACGTGAAAAACTGGATAGGGTTAGCCATGGACCTCGTTTGCATAGGACAGTCGTCAAATTGCCGAAGATGCTAGGCGAAATTCGAAAATGCATGGAACCGTGGCGAAGTAGTAGTAATACAACCAAAACTTAGCGTAATTATAATGTCGAAGACGTACTGTGCCGAGAATGGCTCGCAACATTTGCATCAATTTCAAACCACTCGCACTACACGTGCTAGGGGCAGTAGAATTCTATAGGCCAATATAAGTCTTAGGGGCAGTGCTTTACATTTGTACGGGGTTTTACCTGAAACAGCCATCTTGAAGGCCATTCGGTGTAGTCCGCAACCCTGCCCTTCTTAAGACCTTAAAACCCTTATTTTCTGGGCTACACATTCCGCGAAGATGTGCAGACTATTTCGTGGAGACTGTTTTAAGGTCACCCGGGCATACATGACGCCACAGTGATGTCATGAAAGTCCTGTCATTCCATTAGCCATGCGACAATCAAGGCCGAGACAAAAATGGTTATCGAGTCGTCCCTATCCGGCGCTCGTGAGCACGATTTCCAGCTACAACGGACGTCAGTTGGTTTTCAATAATTGTTGTGCAATTTTCCATGACGTACAAAAGTAATGCATTAAGGAGCATATCAAACAGAAAATTTGCATCGTCTAGAGCAGCCCTTTCCATTCAAAAGTATACCAATGGTTATAAAAGTACTTATTTCATCACATCTGGTGCTTGCTTCAATATCCTCAAATGTGGAACCGCACTCTGCAGCACTCTGACTGACAACAACAATCCGCTGTCTCTCCTTATTACCCTGGTGTGTATGGAGGTACACTTTCCCATTATGTCGGCTTCGTTGGATTCAATACAGTGCGTCATGCATGCGATCCTCCCGGATCTGCCCTTTCATGCCAAGGTTGCCACGGCGTGAGATCCGCATAGTAATGATGTTTAACAAGACTTGGCCACTCTTTTGCGTCTGTTGTACGCTTTAAGGGTACGTTCCACATTTGAAGGCATTGAAGCAAGCATCAGATATGAACTGAGGTCATTTTTAACAGTTGGTATACTTTATGTGCAGAAGGCTGCTGTAAACAACACAATTTCTCTGTTTTAAAAATATAGTTCTAAATATACGTCATTGTTTGATAACGTTCTCGTGCGTGCAAAACATTGACTTGGAGCCATTTGACGGCCGTTATTAAAGGAAATGTGCCCACGAACGCCAGATACGAACGACTCGACAATAGCATTTTTATTGGCCTCGATCGCCAAATGGCAAAACAATGGCAGGATTTGAATAACGTTAATATGGTGTCATGGATGCTTGAGTGACCTTCACATAGTCCCCCCGGAATAGTCTGCAAATCTTGGTGGACGTATAGCTCAGAAACTAGACGAGCTTAGATCTAAAGAAAGGCAGGGCTGATAACTGCACCGAAAGATCTTCAAGATGGCCTTTTCAGTCAAAACCCTACACAAATGTGGAACACTCCCTTGAAATCACTGGTGACGCCGCCACCAGACCAATTGCGGTGGGTTGTCACACAATCCAGTGTAGTTCGTTTGACGTGCACCGATGACGTGCTTCTCATCACGTTATGCTCGGATTTTCGTACAGTGTCAGACGTTTGGTCAATCAATGGCCACGATTCGGACCGCAATTGTCATGCACCGGTATGATGCACACAAGACGCTTCGATAAGTCCGATTACATCCAACCGAAGTGAGTTCATAGATGATAGATACCGAAAAATGTACTGATCCGTAATACGAAAGCGATAATTAAATCCCGCCTTATAGCTGCGTTAGCTTTGACATTATTTCCAATGCATTTGAACCACGACCTGTCATTGTTTGCTTTAGGTACAGGAATCAGAAAATCAGCTGAATTGTCTGCAATCCTTGCAGAATTTTACAACGTTGCGTTTCGATTAACTTACAGACGACTTATCGAGTTTAAAACAAATGCAATTTACAATTCGCTGTCTTATTCCCATGACCCACAGGGCCTTCAAACAAAGTTTCTGACCTCAATGCAATGCAATGCAATGCGTTATGTTCAGCCGTTAAGACAGAATTAATCTAAATACACGTTGGATAAGACAGCAGTATTAGCCTTATTCCTCGCAGAAAACCAGAAGGTAGTTGGGTTGATACGTCGGCAGCATGCCCTTACAGAAACAATTGCAGAAGTGAATATTAGCTGTTCTAACATCACATGAACAGCTTTGCGCGTCGCAAACGAACAGCAACGTGTCGAATCACAGATACTCCTTTCACTTCTTGTGAAGCCTCGTACTATTTCCTAAATTAATTGACAGGTGATACAAACTGAGTCACGAGGTGCGTCATTTTTTCCATCAAGCTCATATCAAATTTACCGTGCTTTGCATCGCAAGTAAACAGCGACGCGTCCAATCAAAAGTCCGGCATTCGCGGCTCCAATTCTCCGTCAAGATTCTCGCTGCTACAGAAATTACTGGCCGATGATAGGGGAAAAATGTGCAATGTGCGTCATTTTTCCCTCATGTTTGCAACAAACACTGCGCGTATGGCAAGTTAACAGTTGGGTGTCGAATAGAAAAGTTTTTCATTCCCGATCCCATGTTCCCAAAGAAAAATATGCAATGTGCATCATTTTTCCCTCATGTTTGCAACAAGAACTGCGCGGATGGCAAGTTAACAGTTGGGTGTCGACTAGAAAGTTTCGTCATTCCTGATTTCATGTTCCCATCAAAAGTTAGGCTAGTCACGTAATTACTCATGAATCGAAACGTACGTTTTACAGCAGATTTGCATAGCGAACTGTGCGCACTGCAAATAAATGGTACGTTTCCGACTCGCAAAGTCCGTCTTTTCGACCCCTATCTGACGTGAAGACTCGCGTAGGTCACGTACGAAGTTAACTGACATGTCATCAGGGCCTGGATATATGACTTGATTGCGGTTCGTTTGCACCACATTCATCCCTTGCTTCCTCCCTTGAAATCTCGGCCTGCTCATCGGCCTACGGTATTGAAATGTAATTCACATTCACACATATAAGCACACGCCTATTTACATATACGAAATACGACTTATCTCCGTGATAGTCCTGATGGCATGACGTCACGTGTGATTAGATCTGCTGGTGTATGACCCCGACCTTCAACCCTTTCGCGCGTCGTTATCGCCACCCGGCTTATCGCGAGCCCATCCTGTCTGGTTAGTTCCATGTACGCCGGCTATTACTCGCCAGAGTGTTTGCTCCTTGTCGGCGTCTGACAAACGTAGCAAGGGGACTGGGGGTGAAGAGAGAGGTGAGGAGGCATGGCCGAAGGGGGATGAAAACGGAGAGCAGACCGCAGCGCCTCAGCTGTTCGTCGCAGTTGCTCCACACACATTTAGTGGCTGCGCTGGTTGAGCGTACAGTGCTTACGTCCACTGAGAGCGCCCGAGCGTGCTGCCTCACGCTGAGTCCGTGCTAGTCCGGAGGTCGGTGTCCTCCCGAATGTGACGCTCCCGCGGGTTTCGTTTTGCAGGCCCCTCCCTCCAAGTTCCGGCCAAAGAAATTCGCTTCCAGTTGTCTTCATGTCCATGTCCGTTTTGCATGCGCTCTTCCTCGTCCCGAAACAGGCCCAGTGCCTCGGGAAGCCAGCGTCGGTATGCCCCGGGACGATGCCTGGCCCGGGCCTGGCATCACCCCGGGGCGAGGAAGAGCGCATGCAAAGTGAACATACGCTCTTCCTTGGATTTCCTCGGATTTCCATGTCTCCTCGGTGAGGAGACATGTTCATCATCTCTATGATTTGCCAGAAGTGAGGAGACATGCCCCTCACTTTTGACTGGCTAAGCTGATAACAAATGTACCTGCCAATTTGAGCGTACCATCGAGAGGTTTTGCTGTCACGGCGTTCTGCCACGTTCTGATTGGCTGAGGTTGGGCCCGAGCTCAGACTCCGAACCTGCCCGCGGGGCTGGCAGTCGGATCAGCTGGCTCCGATCCCGCCTGCCGCTCGGCTGTGCACGAGTGTTACTGGTCGTCAGCTGGCGGTCCGTCGACCCCGGTGCGACGGAGACGCAAGCGGCCTGGGACGCGGCCTCGCCGGATGCCCCGCTCCCCAGTTGCTCTGGGCATCCATCAGCAAGCGCGTGAAGCGCGGCCATCGTTGGCCACCTGCTGCGTTTTCTCCATGTGGCGGCGCCCAAGCCTGTGCAAAACAGTGGGAAGCTGCGAGCGTTGGGCGTGGCCTAACAAGTGGTGGGCCGCCCCACCGTAGGCGAGACGCGAGGGAGAATCGTCCATATGGGAGGCGGTCACCTAGGAGGTCAGGCGAGGGAACGGGTCGTCCCCTTTGGTACACGTTATGCCGCCCCAGTAGCCACGTCGGTGCCAGGTTGATGACAACTTGACCTGATGTTTTGTAACGCAAAGGAACTTGACCTGATATGTTTTATAACGCAAAGGCGGTGGATAAAGGGGGGGGGGGAATTCCAATACGTTTGCGAGAAAAGAATGAGTGATGACGTGGGCGCTAGCAGATGTGTATACCTTGAGTAGGTGTGGTGGTGCGCCAAATACAGGAAGTCTGTGTGGATTATTTACCGGTGTTAGGGCTGCCAAGGCCGATATCCAGAGGCCCCTCCCAGTGTAAGTCGCCGGTTGCATGGGATACCTGCCAATTACAGCGTACCATCGAATTCAGGACGCTTAACTTTTCTTAATGCATCTGGTTCCGTTTTTGCCCTGTTTGAATACTGTGACGAACGAAACGTTGGCAATGGGGTCCCGTGTTGAAGGACGGACAACCATGTACGGAGAGGCAGCCATTGATGGTGCCTGACCGGACCTACCGTCTTGCCAATACCCCGGTCACCCGCTTCATACTAGCTCTGTGGTTCACATGCATGCGTGTTGATGTCAGATGTACCGGAGTTATTACGCGTCGGGTTGTGCGCGTAACATCATCTGGGTCGTATGGTGGCCAATGGGCTTCTCATGATAGATTTGCTCTTGTGAGAAAATGTGATAGCGGCAGCTTGCGACATGGAACACTAGCGGCATTCGGGCAGCTGCGTAGCTGCGTAACCCCACAGTGTCATTGGTCTTGGAACGGAACCAGATTTCAGCTTGGACGGACGCACGTCTTGGGAGGCATTCCCAATTTAATGTTGATGCATTTGCAAAAATAGGTAATTTTTCATCAATCTGTACCCCAAATGGGTTGGGGCATAACAACGTCTCTGAGATTGGCGAAAACAAAGGCTGGGTGGGAAACTTAGCTATAAAGGAGATAAGCTGACCTCATAATATTTTGGAAGGGAAACATGAATAACATACATCCATGGGTAACATTAGAGCAGACCACATAACGGCGAAAATTGGAGGTCCCCACCTCAACCCCCCCCCCCCCCCCCAGTGGTTACACAACTGGTAACAGATGCATTATTCCCACAAAATCACTGTCACAGACAGTGAGATGAACCCAGACTATTGGCACACCAGACTAAACGTTCACAGCCAAGATTCGGAGAGAGCTTCTTCAATAAATATCGCTGTCCATGGTGGAAGTTCAGTTATGCTCCGAATCACACAGTTCACTACGACGATTGTAGAATGGTTTAAACCTATATGACTTAGTATTAACGAACATTTGAACCACCTGGCTATGGCAAAAATGCGAAATCCCCACATACGTTGACTGATGTAAGCTAATACGCTATTTACGCGAAGTGTCCATGCGAAAAGACGTCTGTCGTACGCCAGGCTTGAACCATTGCCAAGTCTTCTTAGTGGCATTACCTGTGCTCATATTTTCGCAAAACTATAAAAAATACTTTTGGATCCAAAGCAAATGGAAAAGGCTTAAGCACAACCATTGGAAAGAGCGGCTTCTCGGTCATATTAAAAACTTTTATAATTCTGAGATGCTTTACTCGACGCTGATTGGTTGACGTATGTAGGGCTGCTGTAACTGCAACGCTCATTGGTTGCCTCACACACTGAGTTGTGGAGCTCGAGCAGACGTCCTGTCTTGCAGAAAATCTTGCAGAATTTGCGCGATGCGGGCGGACACCCGTGCGATTACGGTGCGTTGTCTTCGATTGTGGATGTCAGTGGTGAATAAGTTGTTCTGCAAGCGCTGCTTATCTAAAATATCTGAAAACGACGCAAGCTAATTGAAATTTTGCGCGCTATGGGCCCATCGCCTCATTTAAAGGGCTCTGTGCTGGTCAGCACGCATGCTTAGCTTCCCCGGAGTTGCATGTTAGCTTGACAGCATTATTTATATACCTTGTAAACGCATCTTTGCTTGATCTAGGCCAGTCTCGTGCTCCGGAACTTGTTATTTTGCTCATTACCGCGCACACTTTGCGTGCATTAATGGCCTACGTGGATCCAAATCATTTATCCGTTTTTCACCTCCGACGTTATCAGTTTTAGTTGGCAGTAAAAGCAAGCTTGGTTTATTTTGCTGTAAGTGCGCTCTGTAAGTGCACTGCTATATACGAGGCATATGCGTCTTCATGGGTTGGTGGATATTTGTCTACGGAAAAGGCATGTAGGAAAAGAGCTTTAAAACGCGTCCGGAAGTTTAATGGACTTTGGAATGTTATTGTGAGTGTTCTTGGGCGTCGACGGATGTTGCGCCCCGACCGCAAAATTCTGCCGTTGACCTGGAATGTTATGATCGCACGGATCGGTCAGCATTCATGCAAAAATCAGTGATTAGCACTGACACGGACCCCAGGAATTCACGTATTCAGAGGGCTCGGAGTTAATCTAGGAAATGAAATAAACATTTGTTTTGAGCTTGCACCCAATCTGGCTGTTTCGCCTGTAATTTTGCGGCGAAAACGTTCCGTGCCACCTTACTTAAGGCAAGGTTCTGTGCTCTAACGTCACTGCCAGAACGTAAGCGCGGCTGCTGCCACATGCCACAGAACATCCTAGTCAGAGGTAAACATCAAGTGCATGAAATGACTCAAACTCAACCCGCCCCAGGTGGGTGAATCGGAAGGCGAACGCTCAACCCAAGCAGGCCGTTGGGGCGAAGATAAAACGTTGCGAACCTTTTCTACAATTAAGGGCTTTAATTTAGCCTGGGCGACGCTTGGGGGAGTCCATATCTCATCGCTCTATTGTGCCCATTGTTGGACCTCCATACAGCTTGATTTCGATTTGAACAATCGTCTGCGCAGTATACATGACAATCTGCTTTTAGCACGCCCATAACGGTAAATTCAAGAAATTAATTTTTGCCATTAGTGATGATGTCCCCCAAGTGTGCGCATGTGTTCGAACTCGAACAAACTACATGATGTTGACTGTGCTGATCATGCAGGTGCGTCATATATATATATATATATATATATATATATATATATATATATATATATATATATATATATATATGTGTGTGTGTGTGTGTGTGTATATATATATATATATATATATATATATAAGCTTTTAATTAAAAACAGCAGCACTCATGACGTTAACCCATTAACGCCCGACCATAGTAATACCTATTTCTCATCAGCGATTTTTTATATCCTTCGTTCCGAGGTACATGAGTAAGTGACCCTGAAAAAGTTAGGTCAAAATACGAATACATTTTTGAGATACGACACCGTCCAGAAATGACCCACCGGGCGCACGCTCAGAGGTGCCTCGCCGTCCTTGCCGCCCGCTGCGCCGGCCGGCCGGCCCGCCGCTCGGCCGCGCTGGTCGGTTTCACCCCTCTCTCCCCCCTGCCCCTCGCCCCTCTGTCCCGTCTAGCCGTTCCAGCAAAACAATAATCATGACATCCATTTCAGGGTTATATTGTCTCAAATGTGCTCAACCACGCTATCGCCATTATAGACAAAGCACAGAACATGTAAAAGCATGGAAGGTAATACAACACGCAGTAGGTACGTAACAACACGTTACGCTAAAATGGGAACAGAAGCGCGGTAATAACGTCTACGGATCAACTCTGTTGGTATAGGTATGTGCCAAACCAGTCACGTCATAACACTGTGCATCAGTATTTCACGTTCACCGAAAGCAATACGCTGTATGAAGTACTGTAATGTTTGGCCAGTCAAAACATTCGGGTGAACAACGGTTAGATCGAAACCACCCGCAACTCCTAGCCTCTTCTCATCTTGTACATGGGACATCTACTTACACTGACCGCTGGTGGTACTTAGCGAAGCGCCTGAAGCAGATAGCGACGTCACGCTTGACGCAGCGTGTGGTGGAGCACAGCGTGCAGCTCTCCAGCTGGCAGCGGAGGCGGGCGTTCAGCGGTGCCATCATGTGGCCGACTCCGCCATACCGCAGGCTGACGGGTATGTGAGGTGGCAGCGGCCGGGCTGCGTCTCTGCCACAGGCTGCCAGTCTCAGGTACGTCGGCGATCTCACGGCGAAAGTTGATGAGTGACAGATGTTCGCCACCGGCTGCCGTCTTGTGCAAAATATGACTGTTCACGACGGCCATATCTATCATCCTTGTGATGAGGCACCAGTACCACTTTTTGCCCTTAATCGCCACTTCACACGCCCCCAGTAGCCGGCCGTGCAGGTCGACTCCGCCCATGCTCATGTTGTAGCTTTTCAAAACCTTGGACCGTGGTATTGGGAGACGCTTTCTGGCCGAACGATCGTAGCGGGTCGTTGAAGTGGGGGGGGGGGGGGGGGTCGGCTGAGTCGTGGTTGGTCATGACGTTGACCACCATGTTGTCATTCCATCTGACCAACAGCACTTCCGATGTCCGATCGAACTTTTGTTCGTAGCTGCCACGCGTTGACTTAGCCATCTCCTTTGGGGTCACGGAGCATTTATCGAGCCTATTTTCTCGAATGGTGCCTGTCGCACGGATGCTGCGGTCTTTGAGCTGCGCGAGGAGGCTTCTTGAGGTGAAAATATTGTCGAAAAGCACGTCACCGCTGACCGCTGGGTCCGACACCACGCTCCACATGTCCATCACCACCCTTGTGCCCAGCGGCTGGTCACGTAGTTCAGGACGCTTCTCTTTGCCACAGAAGAAGTCAAATTTGTGACAGTATCCGTCAATGCCACAAATCGCCCAGAGCTCGTAGCCGAAACGTATCGGGTTTCCACGAATGAATTGTTTCAAGCTGTTGTGACCGTAGTACCTTACAACCATCCCGTCTATGGCTAGTTTGGACTGAAAGATGCAGAACTGCTGAAAAGACTTGTTGATTATTTCCATGAGTGGATGGACCTTGAAGCCGCGATCTTTGGTCTGGTTCTGTTTGTTGTCTTGGACGTGAAGGTATGACTTTATTTTCAGATATTCAGATCTCGTCATCCCTTGACGGACGATGGGATGCGAGGGGTCATCATCCTTCGACCAGTACATCCGTTCACATGGTAGGGGATTGCAGCCGGAGTAGAGAAGTGTACCGATGAACGCTTTCAGTTCGAGGTCACACATAGAGAATAACTGGTTGTTATTCACATCTCCCGCATAGCGCAGTGTTTCGAGCTGAATGAGGTGAAACACTTCAGGTGTGAGCATTTTCTCAAAAATATCCACAGCTGTACTACCATCCAGCTCATTGGCTATTATTTCCCGCGCCTCTTGCGGTGCGTTTGATGTTTCTTGCCAACCAGTGTACTGCCGTTGCATTTCACGCCACGTCGGTGCGGTTTTTTCCGAACGTTTTTTTTTTGGCCGGCTGCGACAGGGTGTCCTCAGTTACCGGCTCCTGGTAATTTACCTCCACCTCGCCTGGTATGTCGACCACATGTGCTGTATCCAGGTTTTCATCGTCGCCTTCATCCTCGTCGCTGCCGCCGGGCGGAATATTTACCATATCGATATGACCATCAACCGAATCGAGATCGTTCATCACCATGTCCACTGCTTCCCCACTGTCAAATATCGCACCCGCGGCATAGCGATTGAGCTAAGTCCATGCAGTTGGACGTATCAATTATCGGCTCACTTATCACACGATCGCACTCTTGAGTCCTGCCAAGAAACTAACCGGTGCCAATCCGCCTGGAGTCGTCGCCGGGCGCCGGGTCTCCCCTCCCGGCCGGCCGCCTGCAGCTGGCGGGGGCGCGTGGGAGCCAGTGTCCTAGAATTGCCGACTTTGGGTGCAAAGCAACACCCCATGAGGAGGAATTTTTCACTCCTTTTCCCCATATGTTATGTCAATTTTCACTTCTGCCTGACGTTGTCTAATCGCACATGCCAAACCTTATTTCCCTTTCTGAGGTTTTCAGATGTCATCCAAAACCGAGCTCACCTGAAACCACCAAGCATAAACGAGGCTCCACAGAACCTGGACACCTATAGCTATGCTCTGCCTCACCCACATCTGAATCATGTCTACATATGCACAGAGCAAGGGCGCCAGGTACCTCCAAGCCCAGGAACCCCAGCGACTCCAGCCGCTTTGGAAGCATTAAGTTTGGTTTGTTTACAAAATGCATCACAATCCGCACCTGTGTACCAATGCAAGGTTTTCACGCATTCCCTCTTTTTTGGTCTCACCACCACGCCACGAAAGCAGAGCCTGGCGCAAACACCAGAAGGCCTAGTGGAGAACTTTACTCCACGTATTTCTTTTTTCCCGAGGAAGCTTAACCATTAAATTACATCACTCCCGAAATGCAGGAGTGAAAAATGCAAGAAATGCCTTCTAAATTACATTTTCAAGACGAACATCACCATTTGAGCACTCACGTTAATAGATTTTAAGCCAAATCAGCTGATAGCAAAATTTCACCAGAAATGCATCAGTTTTTATATGTATTTAACTACTGCTGTTTTTCTCGGTATCTTACGCGTGTGATACCACTTTGTTCCTCCTTCCTTTTCTCTAGAGATATCATCTGCTGCTCAAAATGTTGACTAATTTCTCTGCAATATGCTCGAACCGCAAACTTGTAAGTGTTTCATACATAAGTTGAATTAATTCGCCATCCGCTCAAACATGTTTGATATGCACACAAGGGTGAACAATTCACAGGAAATGAAGGAGACAATTTGAAGCACTAAACTTATTTTTACCGCCATTTTTGCCCTGGAAACCCCTCAGTTAACCGTTTTCGTGGTTCATGGCGGTACTCAATAATCATAAATTTAAGCCTTTCGAGTGTCTAATTCACAAGTCCACCTGACAAGGGTACCCTAATGCTGCCATACAGAGCTTTGGGACAGACCTGACGCAGCTAATACAGAAGTGTTTGATGGCGAAATTCTGCCCTCTGGAGATGCTTATCATGCACACCTCTTACTTGTTTCGCATTTTAATCTCGTAGGTTGGTGGGCATGATTTATATTTTTATTTGGGGGGTGAGTGGGATGACTCTGTCTGCCAGCAGACCATGCAGAAGGTACTAGCTTCTTGTTTTGGGGAGCCGGAAGAAGCCAGTAAGTTTCCTTTGAACCAAGTAATTGCTTGCCTTACCTGCTTTCCACACATGATTGGTAACCAGAGTTAGCCATTTTCTGTTTTAATCCATCGAGTTTTGTCATAAGACAAATGGTGATGCCACAAGGCATGCGAGGGGCTTATTTTGTTCCATATTCTTGATTATTTGCTCCAAATTTCTTGAAGTGGTCCCTCATAGCTGCTTTAATCAGGTGTTTTCTACAGGTTTATGGTTGCTGACTGGCAAATAACTGCACTGTATATATGCACCATATTTTCAGCACAGGGATATTCTAAGCTGCATAGCAATTATGATACGAGCTAAATATTAGTGTGTAGGAAATAGTCAGACCATTCCATTTAAAATGTGAAGCCAACATCTCAAACTTTATCATTAAATATGAATAAATAAGCCTAAATAGATGCCTTTGCTACAGCTGAAAAGGCAAGCAGCAATACTGATATGGTCATTTAAAAGTTATGTTACTTGTGGAGAAGAGAGATTGTTTTGTGAATCATGCCCATTGTTCTCCTTGACATAGGTTAACCATGAATATCAAAAGAAGTTGTTCAAAGTGATTTTTAGTGTTTTGATTTATGTGTTGTCAGCTTTGTCTGATGTCAGCAAGCATACACAAATAAACTGAATAAAAACCCGAGTTGAAACCGGCCAAAAATAAGCTTTATCATGTTTTATCACAAGTACTGCTGCCAACAGATAGGTGACTTGAGATGATGTTCAACATATGGGCAACTGTACGTTAGGTTAAGTTGGTTAAGTGCATGGCAAGTGGCAATAGGAGTTGTGCAAGAATAAGTAACTCACAACTGCTGCTGTGATACAAACATATTAGACAGGACAAGATAAAGTAAGGCCTCTTAATGTTATGCATAGTTAGGCTACTTTCATGGAAATAAACATTGGTATTTTGTAAGAAACAGTGGCAAAATTTGTGTGTTCCCTTAACCCATCATAACAGAAGCCAGAGGTATGTCTAGTGTGATTGACGTGGTGATGGGCTGATGTGTATGAGTCCAAGGTCTTTTTTTGTTTGAGCATTTTATGCTTGTTTAGTTTTCTGTTGTTATTTTGTTACCGAATTCCTTTGCTTTGTTTTGTGTTAAACGTGCTGTGGAATGTAAGTGCAAAGTGCAGCATCAATTTATTGATGTTGATCATTGTTTATGCTCGTTACACTGTCATGAAATTACTATGCTTTAATGAATTATGTTTCACTTTAATGACCTAATATGTTAAAAAATGGCTTAACAAACTAATAGCAAAATAGCTTTGTTAGGTTTCTGATATTACGTCCATGCCAACCTGAAATAGATGTTTTGTTTGCTGAAGCGTCAGTCACGATCTCATAAGTTCCATCTTGTGTGAACTGATTGTTTCACATCCGCACGGTCTTTTTGCGATGGAATTTTTCACTCCCACCCTAGTTCAAAAGCAATTCTAGCTCCCTGGCCGGAGCTGAGCACACGCCCAGCGAGTCAAAATTGGTCGATCAAAATTTCGCGCCGGCCGCAGGCTATCGATGTTGAATAAGAGTATTTTTTCAACGGGCTTAGTGAAAGTGTATATTTGACTCCCCTGAGGTGTGATTTCTATCTCGGTATGTTGACGCATAGCTAAAATAATGCGCCTTCACTGTACATAAGACATGCCATCAAAAACTGGCCAGATGTAAAGCCCAGCCAACTAATGAGACGACACTGTTAGCCGCCCACACCCATCTGGTTATATTTAGCCAACCCTCCTCATCCATCGGGAGGGGTAACAGACCCTCTAGGGCGAAACCAGTCAACCGTGGATCCCTCCAAAGCCACCGTCCATTGTTGACTCGCCGAGCGGTAACGAGTTATTTTTTAGATACAGATTTGATGTTGTGCATTAATTATTTTTCATTGTCGGAAAAAACAGTTTAGAAAGGTGCCTATATTATTTTATAACGTCTCATTGGTCCTGCCAACATCGTCAGACAACATAGACACATAGACATATATATATATATATATATATATATATATATATATATATATATATATATATACATAATATTTTTTATCAACTGATGCAAACTTCTCACTTTGTATATTCGCTCTGCTTGCACAAATGTCACGACACTAGTCTACCGCGGCATTCCATGGCAGTACCGCGAGAAGGCCAGGCTAGTACGGGAGCTGCTGGTAGCAGCATTTGGTACAGAAATGCTTGCCAACGTATGCTTGACGGGAAATAGCATATCACCTTCAGCCGGCCGACAAAAAAGTGAAGCGAACGCTTGTCTGTGGTATAGTGAGCGATGTTATCTGCAGGGAAGTATCACAGTTATTCACATATATTTTCCGGCTGTTTTCCATCTAGCACCCATGGTTTAACAGGCGTCAGGGTCTTGTCACGATCCCAGTTGCTGTGTCAGGAGTCTACATCGATGTGGGCGTTCGTGGTTCATTCGTATTCCAAGTTCATGGATTGTCTGATGTGAGCATGTCATGTTTTGGAAAGTATAGTTATATTTGCTATTCAAGTCCACTGTTATGTATGTTGTATCCAGTCAAATGTCTTAGGCATAGGCGCATCCCTGATTTGTGACGGAAGGTGCTACCAAGATTTGCGTCGGGAGAGAATTCCTTTGGAGCGAATTGAAGCCCCATCCACAGAGCCTACGCACTGCCTCCAGACGTTTACCGCCTTTCGTTTGTTCCAGTGGCCTGCCAACGCGCGCCAAAACCCTCAAACAAATCGCGCCGATCTGCATCAGCTGCGCGAAAGCAGCCCAGCGAAAAATCGGACCGGTGGCAGCGGTGCCCGGCAGGGGCAGCTCCTTCCCGTGAAGTGGGGTGCCGATGTGTAATGTGGCGTGTTTCATGATTGATTAAACTAGCATTCAATTGCATTGTGTTATGAGTGATGCTGCGCGGTCGCCGCCTCGCTGGGCGCGCCTCCTCACGGCGGTTCAGCCGTAACCAGCCAGGACAGGAGCTTCAGTCGAACGGTCATCTGCGGGTGCGTGCGGAAGATCACAATGGTGGTGGTGGGCGCCCTCGGCCGGCGAATAATCTGGGAAAATTGCCCGGAAAGTTTGAAAATTATCTGTATTGACATTCTCTGAGACAGGAAATAAGTCTTAATAGTTATCCGTGCCCAGGGAGCGAGCATTGTCGGAGCTCTTATGGAGGACCGTCTCATGGATGCGTCAAACAAGCACATCCATCAACACCATGCCAGTACCATAAAAGACCTACCAGATTACTACGCAAGAAAAGCGACAGTTGCGTAAAAACACCTCGCAGGTACCATAAATGTAAAGTGAAGGTACCACGGAGATAATATGAAAGTACCACCAAGTTACACCACGCAGTCACCACAAAAGTCTACGACAAAAATACAAAAGAACTACGAAAGCATCACAAAAGTCCTGCTG